GACACGCAGGCCCGTCTGAGATTTGGTCCTTCTAAGCATTCATCTTTCAAAGTACCAATATCTGTTATCAAGGTTTGTTTAAAATAAAAAATATATATACATTATAGAATAATGCATACACACATCATAGAATAATGCATACACACATCATGTATACACAATCTTACACACTCAGATACACACACACACACACACACAATGTACATATACATACTCTTACATTCTCATACATACACATAAACACTTATATACAGACATATGTAATACATACATACTTGCACTTACATATATATACATACATACATACACACATACATACACACATACATACATACATACATACATACATACATACATACATACATACATACATACATACATACATACATACATACATACATACATACATACATACATACATACATACATACATACATGCAAACACATATATACATATGATCACATACATGCACACACACACACACACACACATTACATACATTACATACATTTCAATCACACATACAGACACCCACACACATACATACACACTTACATACAAACACACACACACACACACATACAGCCACATTAGATAGATAGACAGACAGACAGACAGACAGACACCCATAGATATAGATAGACACTTAGATACATAGATAGATAGACACCAGATAGATAGATAGATAGATACATAGATAGATAGATAGACAGACAGATAGATAGATAGATAGATAGAATGAACGAACGAGCGAAGAAACTTTATGTTTAAAGGGTCCAAGAGAGAACTGGCCTGCTATTAATCTCAGAAAACAATCAAAGGATTCTCCTGTGGATCCCTGCTGACTCTGGTGTACCAGGGTAACAAAGAATAGAACCAGGCAAAGTGGTACACCCACTCATTGTCATTACCAACAATGAAATCACTTGTCAAGGGAAAATACAAGGAGTTATGGAGAGAACAAACCAACAGTAAACATCCACAAGACCCCCTCAACAGATGGACACTTGTCCATCTATGAACAGGGTATTGCAGCTGTCACATGCATAAAAAAAGACTGTACCCACATTGTGCATGTCTGATGGGACTACAAACACATAAGCACATTCTGCAGGCCTACCCACTATACTTACAACTACAAAGAGAAGACTAGCTTCAGGAGCCAAGAGTACAGAGCAAGCTATGGGGAACCACCAATGATCTGCAACTGACATGCACATTCATAGAGGCAGCCCACCTGAGCATATGAAATGCCGAGAAGAAAAAGGAAAAAAAAAAGAAGAAATGCAATTTGTTTAAATATGATGTTGTGAAACTAACACTTGAAGAATAACACTTTACATACAATATGTCTACATCCTCTCTGTCTCAGTTGACAATGGACTCAACCCAGTCTGGGGAGATTCCTGTGTCTTTGACATCTTGTGCCCTGATCTGGCCTTGATCCGATTTGCAGTCATGGATGAAGACATCTTCGGTGACCCCAATTTTCTAGGCCAGGCGACATATCCAGTGCAGTGCATCAAACAAGGTGACTACGGTGACCTGTAACTGTTTACAGATAGACTTTTAAAGAGATCATTGCTGTCTATAAAAGTTACAGTAACTAGTTTTTGTTTTCTACTCACTGCTTTATTCTGTGCTATTTATACTTGAAGGCACATTTAACCTTATCACTTCTTTGTTCATTGCTCTCTGTTATGTAGACACACATTCAACACTCAATCTGTTGTTTGCCTGTTGCTGGCTTATATAATTTGATTTTGTTTATGTTTCTTATAGAGTATCGTTTAAAGTTAAAACATTTTCCTTGTCTTTCTTTTATTATTACTTCCATTAGCTTGTCTGTCATTTCCAGATTATTTATGATTTGTAGTTTTTGTAGAATTGATATTAAAATATAAAGCTCAGTCTTAGTTAAGGTTTCAGGTTCCCCCATCAAGATATCAAACTAGCACTCTGTATAGCAGGCATGTCACACTAGCACCCTGTATAGCAGGCATGTCACACTAGCACTCTGTATAGCAGGCATGTCACACTAGCACCCTGTATAGCCGGCATGTCACACTAGCACTCTGTATAGCCGGCATGTCACACTAGCACCCTGTATAGCAGGCATGTCACACTAGCACTCTGTATAGCAGGCATGTCACACTAGCACTCTGTATAGCAGGCATGTCACACTAGCACCCTGTATAGCAGGCATGTCACACTAGCACCCTGTATAGCAGGCATGTCACACTAGCACCCTGTATAGCAGGCATGTCACACTAGCACCCTGTATAGCAGGCATGTCACACTAGCACCCTGTATAGCAGGCATGTCACACTAGCACTCTGTATAGCAGGCATGTCACACTAGCACCCTGTATAGCAGGCATGTCACACTAAACACTCTGTATAGCAGGCATGTCACACTAGCACCCTGTATAGCAGGCATGTCACACTAGCACCCTGTATAGCAGGCATGTCACACTAGCACCCTGTATAGCAGGCATGTCACACTAGCACCCTGTATAGCAGGCATGTCACACTAGCACTCTGTATAGCAGGCATGTCACACTAGCACTCTGTATAGCAGGCATGTCACACTAGCACCCTGTATAGCAGGCATGTCACACTAGCACCCTGTATAGCAGGCATGTCACACTAGCACCCTGTATAGCAGGCATGTCACACTAGCACCCTGTATAGCAGGCATGTCACACTAGCACCCTGTATAGCAGGCATGTCACACTAGCACTCTGTATAGCAGGCATGTCACACTAGCACCCTGTATAGCAGGCATGTCACACTAGCACCCTGTATAGCAGGCATGTCACACTAGCACTCTGTATAGCAGGCATGTCACACTAGCACTCTGTATAGCAGGCATGTCACACTAGCACTCTGTATAGCAGGCATGTCACACTAGCACTCTGTATAGCAGGCATGTCACACTAGCACTCTGTATAGCAGGCATGTCACACTAGCACATGTATAGCAGGTCAGCTAATTGAAGTCATCCTGTGCAGGCAGGCATGTCACACTAGCCGAGGGCCTGTATATAGCAGGCTGCTGTTCTGTCTAGCACCCTGTATCCTTGTTTACATGGAACACACTAGCACTTTGTATAGCAGGCATGTCACACTAGCACCATGTATAGCACCCATGTCACACTAGCAGACCATGTATAGCAGGCTATTTTCACACTAGCATCTGCCGGAGAGGCAGGCATGTCACACTAGCACAAAAGTTGTATCTGGCATGGATGTGCAGCACCCTGTATAGCAGGCATGTCACACTAGCACTCTGTATAGCAGGCATGTCACACTAGCACTCTGTATAGCAGGCATGTCACACTGCCATGAGGGCTAGACACCAAGCTAATTGAAGTCAGCTGATTGCAGGCAGCCGGTGTGCTGGCCCAGGGCCTGCTATATATAGAATGCTGCTGGTTCTGTCAGGTCTAGTGCTTGTTTCCTTGTTTACGTGGAACAGAGATGAGCACTTTGTGTATGCCAGCGTGGGTTCCAGGCCCACATTGTGAGGAAAACAGTTATAGACCCACTGTCGCCCCAACAGAGCATGAAGTAAGAGTCGACTAATTTTCAAAGTAGGAGTGCATCTGCCGGAGAGGCAAGGACACAACACTCTGCATACAAAAGTTGGATCTGTAAAATGGATGTGCACACAACCCTCAGGTTCTGAAACAAATCTAAAATCCAGAGGTGGATCAACAATCTGAACTTTCCGCCTGAGTTTACAGTTGGTGAACCCAAAAAAGAGGAAGCACTTTGTGTGATTTTCCCTGTCATAGGAATAGAGCAACCATGAGGTGCCCCATTGCTGTCAGGTTGTAGCTGCAAATCATGACCAACAGTATCCCAGCATGTTTGCTGATTTGATATAATGTCTTGACATTTTTTTTTAAATAACTCCTTTTGTTTGTTTCTATGGTTACAAGTGTCTCATGTTGTGTGTTTGTCTCTCAGGGTATCGATCCATTCAACTGTGCAATGGCTACTCTGAGAAGCTTGAACTGGCATCCCTGCTAGTCTTTATCGAAATGAGGAACCCTAAAGTAAGTCAAACATTGACCCTCTTTTGTGTCCTGTCATCTCCAGTACTATGTGTCCTGTCTCCTCCAGTACTGTGTCCTCTCCTTCAGTACTGTGTCCTGTCTCCTTCAGTACTGTGTCCTGTCTCCTCCAGTAATGTGTCCTGTCTCCTCCAGTATTGTGTCCTGTCTCCTCCAGTACATGTATCCTGTCTCCTCCACTACTGTGTATCCTATCTCCTCCAGTACTGTGTATCTTTTCTCCTCCAGTATTGTGTCCTGTCTCCTCCAGTACTGTGTCCTGTCTCCTCCAGTACCATGTATCCTATCTCCTCCAGTACTGTGTATCTTTTCTCCTCCAGTATGTGTGTCCTGTCTTCTCCAGCACTGTGCGTGCTGTCTCCTCCAGTACTGTGTAGGTTGTCTCCTCCAGTACTGTGTGTAATGCCTCCTCCAGTACTGTGTATCTCATCTCCTCCAGTACTGTGTATCTCATCTCCTTCAGTACTATGTATCTTGTCTCCTCCAGTACTGTATGTGCTGTCTCCTACAGTACTGTATGTGCTGTCTCCTCCAGTACTGTATGTCCTTTCTCCTCCAGTACTGTGTGCGCTCTCTCCTTCAGTACTTTATGCGCTGTCTCCTCCAGTACTGTGTGTCCTGTCTCCTCCAGTACTGTGTGTCCTGCCTCCTCCAGTACTGTGTGTCCTGTCTCTTCCAGCACTGTGTGTCCTGTCTCCTCCAGTACTGTGTGTCCTGTCTCCTCCAGCACTGTGTGTCCTGTCTCCTCCAGTACTGTGTGTCCTGTCTCCTCCAGTACTGTGTGTCCTGTCTCCTCCAGTACTGTGTGTCCTGTCTCCTCCAGCACTATGTGTCCTGTCTCCTCCAGTACTGTATGTCCTGTCTCCTCCAGGACTGTGTCCTGTCTCCTCCAGTAATGTGTGTCCTGTCTCCTCCAGTAATGTGTGTCCTGTCTCCTCCGGTACTGCGTATCCCATCTCCTCCATTACTATGTGTCCTGTCTCATCCAGTACTGTGTGTCCTGTCTCCTCCAGTACTGTGTGTCCTGTCTCCTCCAGTACTGTGTGTCCTGTCTCCTCCAGTACTGTGTCCTGTCTCCTCTAGTAATGCGTGTCCTGTCTCCTCCAGTAATGTGTGTCCTTTCTCCTCCAGTAATGTGTGTCCTGTCTCCTCCACTTATGTGTGTCCTGTCTCCTCCAGTACTGTGTGTCCTGTCTCCTCCAGTAATGTGTGTCCTGTCTCCTCCAGTACTGTGTGTCCTGTCTCCTCCAGTACTGTGTGTCCTGTCTCCTCCAGCACTGCGTGTCCTGTCTCCTCCAGTACTGTGTGTCCTGTCTCCTCTAGCACTGTGTGTCCTGTCTCCTCCAGTAATGTGTGTCCTGTCTCCTCCAGTACTTCGTGTCCTGTCTCCTCCAGTAATGTGTGTCCTGTCTCCTCCAGTACTGTGTGTCCTGTCTCCTCCAGTACTGTGTGTCCTGTCTCCTTCAGCACTGCGTGTCCTGTCTCCTCCAGTACTGTGTGTCCTGTCTCCTCTAGCACTGTGTGTCCTGTCTCCTCCAGTAATGTGTGTCCTGTCTCCTCCAGTACTGCGTGTCCTGTCTCCTCTAGCACTGTGTGTCCTGTCTCCTCTAACGCTGCGTGTCCTGTCTCCTCTAGCACTGCGTGTCCTGTCTCCTCTAGCACTGTGTGTCCTGTCTCCTCCAGTACTGCGTGTCCTGTCTCCTCCAGTACTGTGTGTCCTGTCTCCTCCAGTACTGTGTGTCCTGTCTCCTCCAGTACTGTGTGTCCTGTCTCCTCCAGTACTGTGTGTCCTGTCTCCTCCAGTACTGTGTGTCCTGTCTCCTCCAGTACTATGTGTCCTGTCTCCTCCAGTAATGTGTGTCCTGTCTCCTCCAGTAATGTGTGTCCTGTCTCCTCTAGTACTGTGTGTCCTGTCTCCTCCGGTACTGTGTGTCCTGTCTCCTCCAGTACTGTGTGTCCTGTCTCCTCCAGTACTGTGTGTCCTGTCTCCTCCAGTACTGTGTGTCCTGTCTCCTCCAGTACTGTGTGTCCTGTCTCCTCCATTACTGTGTGTCCTGTCTCCTCCAGTACTGTGTGTCCTGTCTCCTCCATTACTGTGTGTCCTGTCTCCTCTAGTAATGCATGTCCTGTCTCCTCCAGTAATGTGTGTCCTGTCTCCTCCAGTACTGTGTGTCCTGTCTCCTCCAGTAATGTGTGTCCTGTCTCCTCCAGTAATGTGTGTCCTGTTTCCTCTAGTACTGTGTGTCCTGTCTCCTTCAGCACTGCGTGTCCTGTCTCCTCCAGTACTGTGTGTCCTGTCTCCTCTAGCACTGTGTGTCCTGTCTCCTCCAGTAATGTGTGTCCTGTCTCCTCTAGCACTGTGTGTCCTGTCTCCTCTAGCACTGTGTGTCCTGTCTCCTCCAGTAATGTGTGTCCTGTCTCCTCTAGCACTGTGTGTCCTGTCTCCTCCAGTAATGTGTGTCCTGTCTCCTCCAGTAATGTGTGTCCTGTCTCCTCCAGTAATGTGTGTCCTGTCTCCTCTAGCACTGCGTGTCCTGTCTCCTCCAGTAATGTGTGTCCTGTCTCCTCTAGCACTGTGTGTCCTGTCTCCTCCAGTAATGTGTGTCCTGTCTCCTCCAGTAATGTGTGTCCTGTTTCCTCTAGTACTGTGTGTCCTGTCTCCTTCAGCACTGCGTGTCCTGTCTCCTCTAGTATTGCGTGTCCTGTCTCCTCTAGCACTGTGTGTCCTGTCTCCTCTAGCACTGTGTGTCCTGTCTCCTCTAGCACTGTGTGTCCTGTCTCCTCTAGCACTGTGTGTCCTGTCTCCTCTAGCACTATGTGTCCTGTCTCCTCCAGCACTGTGTGTCCTGTCTCCTCCAGCACTGTGTGTCCTGTCTCCTCCAGTACTGTGTCCTGTCTCCTCTAATGCACTTGTACTCTAGCCCAAACAGGAGCTGCATGTATGATATAATGTAGAGACTGGTGTGTTATCAAACAGGAGCTGCATGTATGATATAATGTAGAGACTGGTGTGTTATCAAACAGGAGCTGCATGTATGATATAATGTAGAGACTGGTGTGTTATCAAACAGGAGCTGCATGTATGATATAATGTAGAGACTGGTGTGTTATCAAACAGGAGCTGCATGTATGATATAATGTAGAGACTGGTGTGTTCATCAAACAGGAGGAAAGTTGTGTTTGTATGATATAATGTAGAGACTGGTGTGTTATCAAACAGGAGCTGCATGTATGATATAATGTAGATTCAGCGGTGTAAACTCTGGTGGAAAGTTGTGTGGTGTTGTTATTCAAACAGGAGCTGCACAACTGTATGATATAATGTAGAGACTGGTGTGTTATCAAACAGGAGCTGCATGTATGATATAATGTAGAGACTGGTGTGTTATCAAACAGGAGCTGCATGTATGATATAATGTAGAGACTGGTGTGTTATCAAAGTACATTCTCCATGAGGACTGTGTTGCACAGCTATCCTTCCCTTCTATTAGCCCAGTGCCTAGCAGGGAGTGCAAGAACGGTACTGGAACTTTACATCTGAGAACATGCAACCCTGTCATGGTCCAGGACAGCATGCACAGAAGAGCTGGGGTGAGGTCTGGGCTAGTCCTGTTGACTCTAAGGGTTCCAGGCATTTCTTTGTTCTTAATTTTCTTTGCATTCAGCGGTGTAAACTCTGGTGGAAAGTTCTGTTTGTTCATCTTCTTCTGAACTTTAGTCTTCCAGAACTTGCATTCATCGGTGTAAACTCTGGTGGAAAGTTGTGTTTGTTCATCTTCTTCTGAACTTTAGTCTTCCACAACTTGCATTCATCGGTGTAAACTCTGGTGGAAAGTTGTGTTTGTTCATCTTCTTCTGAACTTTAGTCTTCCACAACTTGCATTCATCGGTGTAAACTCTGGTGGAAAGTTGTGTTTGTTCATCTTCTTCTGAACTTTAGTCTTCCACAACTTGCATTCAGCGGTGTAAACTCTGGTGGAAAGTTGTGTTTGTTCATCTTCTTCTGAACTTTAGTCTTCCACAACTTGCATTCAGCGGTGTAAACTCTGGTGGAAAGTTGTGTTTGTTCATCTTCTTCTGAACTTTAGTCTTCCACAACTTGCATTCAGCGGTGTAAACTCTGGTGGAAAGTTGTGTTTGTTCATCTTCTTCTGAACTTTAGTCTTCCACAACTTGCATTCATCGGTGTAAACTCTGGTGGAAAGTTCTGTTTGTTCATCTTCTTCTGAACTTTAGTCTTCCAGAACTTGCATTCTGCATGCACATCCATTTTTCAGATCTGGCATTTGTGTGTGTGTGTATGCAGACTGTTGGTTTCTGGCCTCTCAGCAGATGCATTCCAGCTTTAAAATAAATACCTTAATTAGTTGACTTTAACAACATGCTTCTTGAGGGGGGGGGGGGGGGCATTTCATTGTTAACATTGCCAGTAGCCAAGCCACTGGTCTCAGTGTACTAGATAGTCCTCATTGAGTTCTCCAAGCTGCTGTATTATTAGTCTGTTCTTGTACCTCTGTGAGTTCTCCAAGCTGTTGTAATATTAGTCTGTTCTTGTACCTCTGTGAGTTCTCCAAGCTGTTGTAATATTAGTCTGTTCTTGTACCTCTGTGAGTTCTCCAAGCTGCTGTAATATTAGTCTGTTCTTGTACCTCTGTGAGTTCTCCAAGCTGCTGTAATATTTGTCTGTTCTTGTACCTCTGTGAGTTCTCCAAGCTGCTGTAATATTTGTTCTTGTACCTCTGTGAGTTCTCCAAGCTGTTGTAATATTTGTTCTTGTACCTCTGTGAGTTCTCCAAGCTGCTGTAACCTATTCTCCAAGCTGCTGTAATATTTGTTCTTGTACCTCTGTGAGTTCTCCAAGCTGCTGTAATTTTAGTCTGTTCTTGTACCTCTGTGAGTTCTCCAAGCTGTTGTAATATTTGTTCTTGTACCTCTGTGAGTTCTCCAAGCTGTTGTAATATTAGTCAGTTCTTGTACTTCTGTGAGTTCTCCAAGCTGCTGTAATATTAGTCAGTTCTTGTACCTCTGTGAGTTCTCCAAGCTGCTGTAATATTAGTCAGTTCTTGTACCTCTGTGAGTTCTCCAAGCTGCTGTAATATTAGTCAGTTCTTGTAACTCTGTGAGTTCTCCAAGCTGCTGTAATATTAGTCAGTTCTTGTACCTCTGTGAGTTCTCCAAGCTGCTGTAATATTTGTCTGTTCTTGTACCTCTGTGAGTTCTCCAAGCTGCTGTAATATTAGTCTGTTCTTGTACCTCTGTGAGTTCTCCAAGCTGTTGTAATATAAGTCTCTTCTTGTACCTCTGTGAGTCCTCCAAGCTGCTGTAATATAAGTCTCTTCTTGTACCTCTGTATAACTTAGTTCATACTTTTGTCATGTTATATTTGTTGTATTTATTGGAACATATGTCTGTAGTTATAACTCCAAGTCAATCTCTACTTTTGTTGTATGACATTTCTTTTGTATTTGTTAAAAACTATATCTCTGTGCTTGTATCTTTATGCCAGTCTGTCCATACTTTTATTGTATGACTTTTGCTGTGTTTATGGAGACATGTTTTTGCTGTTGCTGCAGGAGAGTGATGACTGTGACATCTATGCCAGCATCCAGGAACTCCGGGAGGAGTCTGACAAGCTGTCAGCAGAGCTGGAGACCCTGGAGACCCGGGGAGACAGGGAGCATGCCAGTGTTGTCAAGAGAGAGCTGCAGCAGACGCAGGAGAGGCTACTGGCCAAGCATCAAGAGAGGCAGCAGAGGAAGTAAGTGGCCTTTTTTTTATCCAGAAAGGAAACAACAAATTCAGTTTAAAAAAAATAGTGTTTAAATGAAGGAGAGGGAGGTGTGTTCCTAGTTCTTTGTGAGGAGAGTTAGATGTTTCCTGATATAAGAGTAGTTGTTCTTTGTTCTAGGGTCAACGCATTTTCTAAATAAAGTACTAGTGCATTTGCTGGGGGTTGAGATTGTTAGCCACGAAAGTGTCACACAAAAATACCAGACCACAAATATAACCAAAGAATGTTGGCAGCTTCGGCTAGCTATCAGCAGGTTGAACATGGTGAAACTTTTTTTTTTTTTTTGTAAAACAGCGGAGCGAAATGGTGGTTAAGCTGGGTGACCATATGGCCCATTGATTGCCAGTTTGTGATGACATTCTGGACCTACACTAGATCTTCAGTGTACCAAGGCCGTAGGGCAACCGTGGTCCTGTAAGTTTCTTTCACTCTGGGCACTAGATTGGAACATGATGATGATGAAGTACTAAAACCTGCAGATAAAACCTGGCCAACATAAGTCTTATCCCAGCCAGGGCTCAATGTTGATCTCATCAATCAGCAAGTCCTTTACAGAACATCGCTCTCTTCACAGCACACCTGAAAGTATCCCTGTCCCTAGCCAGCTCTCTTCACAGCACACCTGAAAGTATCCCTGTCCCTAGCCAGCTCTCTTCACAGCACACCTGAAAGTATCCCTGTCCCTAGCCAGCTCTCTTCACAGCACACCTGAAAGTATCCCTGTCCCTAGCCAGCTCTCTGGCCTCCTGTGCTTTCAATGCCAATGCTTCTTAAATGTCCTGTATCCATCTTCATGGTGGTCGACCCCTGCCTGGGGTGGTCGAACCCTGCCTGGGGTGGTCGAACCCTGCCTGGGGTGGTCGACCCCTGCCTGGGGTGGTCAAACCCTGCCTGGGGTGGTCGAACCCTGCCTGGGGTGGTCGACCACTGCCTGGGGTGGTTGAATCCTGCCTGGGGTGGTCGACCCCTGCCTGGGGTGGTTGACCCCTGCCTGGGGTGGTCGAACCCTGCCTGGGGTGGTCGAACCCTGCCTGGGGTGGTCGACCCCTGCCTGGGGTGGTCGACCCCTGCCTGGGGTGGTCGAACCCTGCCTGGGGTGGTCGAACCCTGCCTGGGGTGTTTGACCCCTGCCTGGGGTGGTCGAACCCTGCCTTGCCTTTCACAAACTGCATCCTCCATCACTGTCTTGTCCAAGCCACCATGACGCTTGATGTGGTCAAAATGCTTCAACTTTCGGGACAAGATGCTGTTTATAAGCCAGTTCTCCTAGTTGTTCAACTAGTTCAGAATGTCTGTTTTTCCACTTCTTGATCTATGGTATTCTGAGAATTTTTCTAAAGCATTTCATTTCAAAAGCTTCAGTCTTTTTCCTCAGTGACTGAGTGAGATTCCAAGACTCACAACCGTAAGTTGCCACAGGACAAATGCATGATCTCAAGATTTTTACTTTAATCAATTTACGAGTGCTTTGCTGTTGGTTCTTCATGCTGTTTAATCTCTACATTGCTAATGCACGTAATCATAATCTAATTACATTCTGATATATCACCTGTAAATGTCATGATCCACATCAGTTTTACACACCACCACTGGTTTCAGAGTTTGGAGAAGGGAAGGAGAGATCTGCAGCAGCCCCCATGTCAATGGTACATTATTACTAGGCC